TATAGAACATATTTCATATTTATTGATGGCAAGATCTCACATAAATTTTCTTCAGATTTTCACACAGCACCTTTCATTTGAGAGAAACTCTAAAGCTATACACAATAAAATAGTTGCAAAGATAAATGAAAAACGTATGATACAGTGTTTGTATTAGCTCTGCACATATTTGAACCCTCTTTCTGTTCTCCGTTTACGGTTGCTAAAAGTGTTTGCGATGAGTGCCGCAGCCGAGTGCTTGATGCCAACTTGGTCCGCATCGAAGTACGTGCTTGAGTACTCTCAGTTCATAGAAGTGTGGTAGCTGCTTAAGAAAGCGCTTGTAGTATTGGAACAATGAATGATCGTAAGTATGGCTTTTAGTCGTAGTGAAAACACGAAAAAGATAGAGGAACATCAATAAAGTTGCACGAACGGAGAAACAGATGGAAATGTGGGAAGAATTTAGCATTAAGGCTAAAGTAACGAAACATAAAGATGGGTAATGGGGTGAGGAATGTCGGAACGAGAACAAGTACGGCTAGTGGCAAGACTATACGAGAGAGTATGGAAGTCTCTCAGACCATAGTAACTACGTAATTCTCTTCATATCATAGTAATTGATGGAAGTCATGCAATTCTGTGTCGTCATGCCCATCCTGCTGATTTGCCTTTTCAATTTCAATGTCCGGGCGGCAGAGAATTTTGAATTTCTGGAAAAAAAATTTCTTGGATAAAAGACCCAACGTTCTATCCAAGTCCACACACCTCCGAAAGCGTCCCATCAGTCGTGACCCAAGCATAAATTGCATATCCGGGTATGCAGAGCATCGACGACAACGAGAGAAACCAGCCGAAAACGTGTCCCCAGAACGGATAGTCATAGTTGTAGGCGGCAATTCGCAGCGGCTGATATTTCACCAGACCAAAAATCATCACACCCTAAAACGAACACATTTTATGTGGAGTAGAAAAGGGTATATTTATATATGTTTGGATCACCAGTTTTATTTTGATTCCCTCACTCGAGGAACCAAGACAAATTGATATCGCGCATCTACCAGGCTGTCAATGACAACTGTTCGCAACCGCGCTGACAGCTCCTCCACACCAGCAGGCGCTGCTGGCACTGGTAGAGGTGTGAGGTCAACATTCCGAAAAGCATCAACTAATAACAGAGATTTTCAACCGTGAGCAAATCCAGTAGGGTCTGTGACGTATGGTCTAAATCTAAAAAACTACCATAGTACCTTTGCGCTGACGACAGCATATGCGCGCTAAAAATGTTTGTCAATCGAATTTTTCCGTGCTTTGCGCCTTAGGCGGTCTTTGCGCGCAACCATTGTCGGCTCTTACGGAATCTACTACGTCAATGAAATATTTACACCACGAAATTTTGGGATTCTTCGGTCTCAGCATAATTGGAATGCCTAACTCGTTTGAAGGGGAGCGCGCAGATCCGACAGCAAAAACTGCTGTTAATAACTAAAGAAAAGACCAGCATTGATGGTTGAAAAGCGCCATAAATCTGCATAGAAAATAAATTTTTTTTATCAGTTTTCAAGTACGACGACCAGCGTCCGGCACCGTTGGTTTGGGGTCAAACTGGACTTCGTTT